GTTCTGACTTGGTCCAGACCCTCTGGTGAAATCTCTGGTTACCGGGTCACCGTGGTGCCCGTCGATGAGTCTGGTTCTTCTCAGCCAGAGATGAATCTGCCCGTCAGTCAGAACGCCTACACTGAAGTGACGCATCTACAGCCAGGAACGCTGTACCGATTCAGTGTCTATGCTGTTCATAATGGACATGAAAGTTTGCCACTTATTGGAGAGCAATCCACCAGTGAGTATGACAGATGGCCTCCAGACTACAGGGAAATCATTTACATGCCAAAACTGGATGGGAATATACACAGCCTCTCTTCTTTGCATGACTAAAATCTGGGTAAAGAGGCATTAACATTAACACAACCACACTGTGAAACAGACAATACAATGTGCACATGTTTTAGCTATCCTATAAATACACAAAATCATGATTACTGATCAGAAACCATAATAAACAAGTGTTTATTTTTCCAGTGGCACATATTTCCTGTGGTAGAGTTTTTTGCATTTTGTCAGGGTGTCTGGGGATTTAGTTTTTCCGAGCAGCCTGGGCTCTGGTCCAGACTGTGAGGGCTCTGCAGGGGCCATTCCATCTGTTATAGGACCCTTCGTTTCTGAAGATGGTTTAATACGACTAGCTGTTTGAATATGGGATAAAGCAGACAGAGATGAAGCGTGAAACATGCATGGCTTTTTTACAAGAACTAAAACTGTTCATACTGCTCCCGACAGTCTTTTAGATCAAACTGCTCTGTATCTAACAGTGTTCATTATCTGTCTTCTCAGAGCCAGATGCCCCCACAGACATCCATTTTGCCAATGTGACCGAGGACAGTGCAGTGGTGCTGTGGTTTGCACCCCGTGCCAAAATTACCGGCTACAGTCTCTTCTTCACTGTTAAGGGCTCCAACCCCAAGCGGCTGCGGCTGCGCCTGCCTGCCCGCCTCACCCAGTACACCCTCCTCAACCTGCAGCCAGATACCGAATACACAGTGACTCTGCACGCGGAGCAAGGCAACACCATGAGTGCGGGAGAGACGGCTTTGTTTACAACCAGTGAGTATCCAGTACATTGAGCTTTGTGGCCACCGAGCTTATACTTCAAACTTTTGTGCGTTTTGCTATTAAAAAAGAATTTTCTGGATAAGTCGAGTCAATGAGGCGTGGCCTCCTTCAAACACCAAAGCATAAATATTGAAGTTTTTGCTGTATTTATATTCCAAGACACCAAAATTGATAAGAACACACCTTCACCTTCTGTGTTTGTAGCCCCAGCAATGGGTAATGCTCCTCATTTCAACACTGATGTGACTGATTCCTCCATTATAATCACCTGGACTCCAGTTCCCCGCGTTGGCTACAAGGTACCCTCACTTACAGTATATTTTTGCATGATTTGCCTTTTTGGGTGCAGGTTTTCTTCTTTACGTGTGTAATTCTGTTTTTCTTTTTTTCCTAATCGTTAAATGCATTTTCCTGTTTGCTGTGCAAAGCACATTCCAGTTATTCTTACTTGAGTGTGCGCCTCTCAGAGTTAGCTACTAACATGGGAACTTGAACCCTCTGAGATATATCTGATTGGTTAGAAGATGTCGCACCAGAGATGAGAATGTTCTGCTGGCTTCAGTGTTCTTGGGAAAGCACTGACCTCTGACCTTTACCTCCTGTACCCCCAGCCCGTGTCTCGCTCTGCTCAGTCTGTCTGACTGTGTGCATTTATCTTTCAGCTGACAGTACGGCCCAGTCAGGGTGGGGAAGCCCCGAGAGATGTGACCTCTGACTCAGGAAGTATCTACATTTCCGGTCTGACTCCAGGAGTGGAGTACACCTACAGCGTCCAGCCGGTCATTAATGGATACGAGCAGGGAACTCCAATCACACGCCGCGTTGTCACACGTAAGTGGACTCTTTTCGTTCCACTTTCCAAACCTTTTTCTTCTCTGTTTTGCATTCTTTTTCCACACGTCCTCCTCTGATCTTCTATCCTTCTTCCTCTCCAGCTCTGTCTCCTCCAACCGATCTCAATCTGAAGCCTAACCCAGGCACCGGTGGTGTCACAGTGGAATGGAATGGAGCCAGTACTCCAGGTACACACATGTGCAATAAAAAGAAGAATCCCAACAAACAAATCATGAATAGCCAGTCTAACAACTAAATACCTCTCTTATCCCTCTAAGACATCACTGGGTACAAAGTGACATGCACTCCCACTGACGGACAACAAGGAAACAGTGTGGAGGAATTTGTGGAAGCTGGCGAGAACTCCTGCACTCTGGAAAACCTGAGCCCTGGTGTGGAGTACAACATCAGTGTTGTCGCTGTTAAAGATGAGATGGAGAGCACTCCGGTATCGACTGTCATTACACCAGGTGAGATGTTTAATTTCACAAGAAGGCCTCTCAGAGGTTTGAATGGGTTTTCTTCCCAGTCCATCAGTCCATGCAGACAGGATGTGCATGTATGGAAAGTCATTCTCTAATCAGCTGCAGAAGCAACATGTTGAAGGTTGATGTTTTCAAATAAAACATCAACCTTCAACTTTTAACACCTACCAGCTCTTTTCTGATACTGTTGCTCTCTGCATAGGCACCAGCAGCTAAGTGCCTATACTAAAGTGTCTCATAGGTAACACTAATGCTTTTAATGTTAACTTTATATATCACCAAATGGTAACATAGGTGTATTACCATTTGGTGATATATATATCTGTATATCAGGAGACGCAAACTTAACATTAGGGCTTCCATCAGTGTCACCCTGCTGAAAGTCCAGTGTTTGTGGCCCAGATTAACTAGTTTGTATCCTTTCTCTCCTTTTTCTTTTTCCTCACGTTTGTTGTTTCTTTGTTTGGCGTTTCTGGGTTTTTTCTCTCTTCCTTTCTCTGCCCCCAAATCTCTTCCCATCCATCCAGAAGTACCACAGCTGACTGACCTCAGCTTTGAGGATGTGAGCGACACCACTATCAGTCTACGCTGGACACCGTTCAACACCAAAGCCATCACTGGTTACAGGATCACTGTAGTTGCAGCCGGCGAGAGCGTACCGATCTTTGAAGACCAGGTGCTGCCCACAACTGGTCAGTACACGGTCTACGGACTGGAACCAGGCATCGACTATGACATCAGCGTTACCACTCTGACGGAGAATGGCGAGAGCGAGCCCACCACGCTCACTCAGCAGACCTGTAAGAAAAAAAAATACACACGTTTAGTGTGAATTCACTGTTTAGGTTATATAATGTAATAAAGCTCTTATTAAACCTTTGACACGGCTCTTTAAACAACAGAAACCTTTAGGTTGCTGATGTCATTGCTGTGCGTGTTTTGTTGTCGGTTTAATAGCCCTGTGTGTGTGTGTGTGTGGGGGGGGGCATCTGGTATTAGTTGAGAGGTTTACCATACTAAGGCTTACCCTCCCACCCCCCACCAGTACAAACAATGCTTGTTCTCCCAGCTTGAAGATGTTGTAAAACTTCAGAAGAGGATTTGCACTGACACACAAACACATCACAGACTCGTCTTTTAAAAGACGGTCGTGTAAATATTTCACTTTCTCTTTTAGTTGTTCCCTTATGTTTGTCTTTTTTTCTTGCATCCTTTCGTGGAGTTATTAAATTTCCTCGAATCCCGTTTCACAACCAGTAAGAAATCTCATAAATCTAACAGTCTGCTCTGTCTTTCCCACAGCTGTGCCAGC